AACAAGTGCATCGCTAGTAGTAACAAGTGCATCGCTAGTAGTAACAACTGCATCGCTAGTAGTAACAAGTGCCTTACTAGTAGTAACAAAAAGCTATTAGACACAATAAGCTAAACATTGTTACTACTAGAGGCACTTGTTACTAGAAGCGATGCACTTGTTACTACAAGCTTCTTGTTTCTAATAGTTTGCTACTACTAGCTTCTTGTTACTAGTAGTAAGGCACCTGTTACTGCTAGCGTGGCACCTGCTACTAGGAGCAGTGTTTGCTTGAGACATCTGTGCAACAATCCGGCAGCTCAGAGACTGATGGACCGAAGTAGTGGTGTGACGGACAACAAATCACGCCTGCTCATGCATCGTTCAAACATTGCCCGTTGAGCCTGAGCAGGCAAACATCTACCATACCAGTCTAAACTGCAGCTTCTCTTTCTCTTCAACTTTTGTGTTTCGCTTCTTCCCCCCGTTGATTTGTTTGTTGAAATAACAGGATCGTCGTCTTAATTTGGGGCAAGAACGAACAAAAGAGAAACTGTGGCCTCGAGGCCAAACATGCATCTCTTCTCAGGTTCCACGTTTATTAGAATTTCTTGGAAGTGCCTTGTGTGCTCAGGGAAGCATAGAAATTGAAGAGGAGGGAAGGAAAGTCCTAGAGGTCGAGGCCATGGTTGATGGTGCTTTCGCAGGCGGCTGTTGGTGCTGATGCACGAAAGACAAGTGCTTGGCACTAATAGCTTCTTGTTACTACTAGTAAGGCACTTGTTTCTAGTAGCGTGGCACTTGTTACTACTAGCTTTATTGTTACTGGTAGTAAGGCAATTGTGTACTAGTAGCTTCTTGTTACAGTAGCTTCTTGCTCCTAGTAGTAAGGCCAGGAGCCCCTAGTAGCGTCCTTGCTCCTAGTTTCTTTCTTTTTTGTATAGTTTGGTGGCATTGGGTTGGGTTTCCTGCCAAGAACTCATGCATCTCAGGGAAGCCTCTCTTCTGGGGATATCCTCCCTTCTTGGCGTGTCAGCAACTCCTTGGACCCCACACCACTCGGGCCCACTCGGACCTCAGCCGTCTTCATGAAAACGTTTCCGACCAAGCACAGTTGGCCGTGCGTTCTCAGAAGTCATCTCAAGTCCAGTCAACTATGGGGCAATTCCCTGCAACACAGCGGTCTTTTTCTTGTGGAACGCTGCGAAAGGTTGCATCCAATTAGGACAGTTCACATCTTCCCCAAAAGGGATGCCTCTGTGGCCTTGAGCCCAGAAGGGAAGAATCGGGGGAATCCCTAAAGATGGCCCGCTTCCGAATTCGAACCAACACCAACACCAAATATCCCTGTTTACAGGCATTGATACAGAGGCCGACTGGACTGATATTTTTGGAATCCTCCATCTTGAGACATTCCCATGTGCTGAGATTCCTCCATGTTTAAGGGATCTCAGCGGCAAGTTCTCCCAGGCCTTTCAGGGCTGGGAGTGCCACAGAATCCTGCGACAGTGGGGAATTTCCAGGTTCATGTCCCCTCGCAAGTGCTGAACGCAAGATGAACAAACAGCTTCAACAGCGGATCAAATCTGGATCAACACCTGGAAATGGCCCTTACTAGAGTGCGAATTCACCTGGTCCTTGTGCGAACCTCTCTGCACGAATTGTGCACCAGCGCGTGGGAGCTGGCACCCAAAAAAAACAGCCGATGGGAACGGTCGTTTTGAGCCTCTCTTCTGGCCGAGCGCCAAAGGGAGCTACAACCCTATGCTCAGGACCTTTAAAATCCCCCAGAACAGACCTATTTTCGATCCTGTATTCCTTCATTTGGCAGCTTGTCCTGGGGGGCTAGAGCTAGAGCAGCAAATGCAGCGCATGTCAATAAGCATAATCGTTTGGAGCTTCACCCCTACACAGGGGAGTCAACCACTGTGTGAAGCATTCATTTTTCGCTGCACCTGTGCAGCCCCCCAAGTCATCCTAACTTTGAGGATGCCAAGCAGGACGCTAAGCGTAGCTAAGCGTAGAAGGTGGTCGTCGACGTGGTGGTCGTAGTTTCATTTCTGGGGCAGAGCCGCCAGCCAGCGTCCACGACCGAAGCATCCGAGGACCAAAACCTCGATCCCACATAGCCGACCTTCTTAGGCTGTTTACTGTTTAGTCGTTGTTTTACCAAACTGTTTTGCATTGCAATCCTTGTGACTAGCCAGAAGGGTAGATGAAACGTGGACAATGAAATGTGTCCAGCTTTTTTGAAGGGGTTACGGGGTCACGATGAAGAGTGACCCTAATTCCCGAAGTACAGTAGGAAGACATTGTCCTTTATTTGGGAAGCCTTGTTCACGATCAACCGGAGATGGAGACGTTTCTTGAAAACTGCGATCGAAAAACCTAACCTACTGAAACCCCAGAATTCCAAGCTTCAAAAGCACCAGAAACCACCGGAACTGCATCTCATTGACTTAGAACGTCCGTGTTTGACCAGTTCTTTTCCATTAACACCACAAACAAATATATATATATATATATATTCATTTCTGGACAAGAATGCTGTTTTCCGGAAGACCAAGCGCGGTTGGGTCGAGTCCCATCACCTTCCGCCCTCCTTCGTCCTTCCCCCCTTCGCCGCCCCAAGCGGCAATGAGTTGGTGGGGACAACACCTTCTGGTCCTCGGCTCCTGTGATAGGCCTCAGCGACGTGCATCGGCGCGTGCGCGACGAAGCGAACGGAGCGTGAACGGACGCATCGCTACGAACGGAGCGTTCGGACGCTACGAACGGGGGCTCCTGGTCTGGAGGCCATCGCTACTAGGTTGGAGGCTGACACAGTGTGACAGTGACACATGGTGTGACAGTTGGTCGCCTGTAAGTTCCTCAACCAAACGTGAAACCTTACGTGCACCAATTGACTGCTCGGTGGCCAAAGTCCTCTTTCAATGAATGAACATCAGGAAGTTTGCCCTCTATGTCGATGTTTGAGCACATTTGAGCACGCAAACACAAACTCTCTCAGCCAAGTACCAACCTCGAGAATCTTCCTTACTCCCCAAATACCAATATAATTTGATCGTTTTCAGTGCATTGAACAAAACAGGTTTTCTGAAATCAAGAGAAACCTTCCAGACCAACCCCTTGCAAACATCCACCCCAACTGGCCTTGCAATCCACGTAGAGCTTATCGAAACCAATCTCTGTCGAGAAGGAGACCACTTCAATGGGCACTGCAGCTGCGGCGTTCACCGCCACCTGCGGTGCCAAGGGCCCCAGTCAAGTCTAGGCAAACGGATTCAAACGGGTTGTTCGTGGTCGTTGGGACCAGTGGCACCCCCCGTTTTGAACGTGTTCAAAAAAGAATGGTGTGTGTGGTTCTCCTTCCTCTTTTCCTTCCCTTTCTTCACCAATTGGTTATCGCACCTTACACTGCTGGTTATCGCCGTAGGAGTTCGGATAGTTCGGACTCAGGAGACAGTGTGCGGCATCGACGCTGCAGGGCCCGCGGAGCACCGACCACATGGCGCCGCGGAAGTCGACGTTGGAGTAGTCGTCCTCGACGGAAGCGGCGGTCCGTGTCGTGTTGAGCGGTTCGGCGTCGGAGATGGAACGAATCCGTGTGTTTTGTTGAAGCCAATAAATTTTTTGGGGGGCTGAATAGGCTGATAATAACCTAAAGGACCTTTAAACCTAAAGGATATCATCATATTATAACTATAACATTTACTACCTATTATAATCATATAAATCGATAGGACCCACTCGATGATCGTGACCAAAGAAAGATGGGATCGTGAGTTTCTTCAGACCTGATCCTCTGGCTTGGCCCGTTCCAACCACATGGGTTCCGTTCGCTTGCTGCATCCCACACACGCTGCTGGAACTGGACCGAATCGAAAATCAATCTTCGCTGCGTTTCAACATCTCCAATCCCAAAAGAAAGTCGATGTAGAAGCTACTAGGTGGAGGCCATTGCTAGTAGCTTAGCAGCTTGGAGGCCATTACTACCATGTAACCAGAAGCTACGAGCGTAGCTCTTTGCTTCCAAATCGATGTCCACAGGTCCTCGCTTCCTTCCGTCGGCGAGTCCTCGCTGTCAGGGGTCCTCGCTGTCGTCCACCGCGTGGGCTTTCCGAATCTTCCCCTGCATGGCATCGTTGATCCACGAAAGCACAGTGACCACCCGGCCATAGACTCCTGCCGGTGGAAAGACATCAAACAACACAACTCACGAGTTGTAGATCAGAAGATATGGATGAGTCCTGGATGAGAACATCTGAGAGGAAGGAAATGGGCTCTCAAATCTTCTTAGGTTTGGTTTCAATCCACAACTAGCTCAAGTGCTCAAGATACTCACATGTAACAAAACGATTCACACCTGAACTTGCCGCACGACTTGCGTTTGCAGTTTCATTCTGCCACACAACTTCTGCAGGCTCCACCCCTTTGCAGCACTCCTGGAAAGCCCTCATAGGCGCAGCCCTGACCCCAAGATGTCACCCCGCGAAGCACGAAGCGCTTCCCTCGCATGCCTTTGACTTTCTCCTGGAGCGAGCGACCGTGTTGGACGAAGCCAGCTGGATGAGGTGTTGGACGAAGAAGTTGAATTGAAATTGCCCTGAACCAACCTAATAGCAATGGCCTCCAACCTAGGAGCGTCCTTGCTCCTAGTAGCGATGCCAGGAGCCCCTAGTAGCTTCTTGTTCCTAGTAGTAAGGCCAGGAGCCCCTAGTAGCGTCCTTGCTCCTAATGGCAATCACCTCCAACCTAGGAGCGATGGTACTGCCCTTACTCAACTTGAACTCATAGGTCCAAAATCATCGATGTGATCTGGTCGAACTGCTACCCTGCTGCAATCACTTTGAGAATGGTGCTGCCATTGCCCATCCACTTACGCTTAGGTCCGAAGGTCGTCAAGGGGGCCATCGCTACTAGGTTGGAGTTGGAGGCCATTGCTATTGGTTCCTTCTCTATTATGTAGATTCCTTTTGCTATTAGGTTGGAGGCCATCCGAAGGTCGTCAAGGCAACTTCGTCTCGAATCCGTTAGGATAGAATGTGATAGACCCACTGACCCACTCATCCCACTCACTATATAGATCCGATCCTCATCTCCCATGACTTGGACCTTCCCTGCTTTGGTCAGCCAAGAAGTACTGATCCATTCCTTTTGAAGGATTTAGGCTAATCTGACCTTCAATTGAGGGATGTGCATCTATTCTGTGTATCTTGCTGAGGAAATCGGTTCTCCACTCAAGCAGCGGAAAAGTACTTCTGGTAAGTCTTGTATGTGTGTGTTTCTTTTTTCTCTGGGGTGTTGTGGCACAAAGTTCAATCCTCGAGCAGTTGGGCAGTCTTGGGTATGCGACTTGCTAAATGCCCTTCTATCATGGGAAAATATTGGATGATGTAACAACGACTATCTGAGACCAAAGGAATTTCACCACTGCAGGCTCGATTAATTCCAAGAACAGCAACAAATGTACTAAACGACCAACCTGGGCATGTGAAGCTGTTAAGATTGGGGTAAGCTCAATGGTGGTGTGTGACGCAATGCCCATGTTCCTTCAAACGTCTTCAAAATACATTGTTTGAAAAAAAAGAGGGACCCCACTGGTAGAACCAAAGCTTCGACTCACAAGCCTCCAAAAGGATTGTCGGGCTACGCTGATTGCTAAGTTCTTTTCAAGTTTGATTGCTAAGTTCTTTTCTAGTCTATGAATGTCTACTCACTGACAAGGTATAAAATGAAGGTAGTATGATCAGACTTCAGCATGTCAAGTCCCAGGCCAGTTACAAGAATTGCCGAAAATCTGATGTTCGTGCGCACTGGTGTATGTTACACGAAGTTCTTCCTGCTACTACTAGCCAACTAGCCCAAACACTTCTCTTTCAGAATGAGCCTTTCAATGAGGAGGGTGCACCAAGTGCAAGGAACACACCAAACGCCCTCACTGGTGGCCCTCCTGGCAAACCAAGGGCCCTCCACTGTCGCCCTGGCAGGTGTCTGTGATGCCAGTCCGCGAGTGGCCGCGGGCGCAAAGCATTGAGCCTCGCGCAGCTGCGGCGCAGCCGGACACCTCCCCCTTACTGCAGCAGCACCCTTAAAGCCTTAGAATCCACATTTGGGGATCATTGATGAAAAGGGCAGAACCTTGCTAGGAGCAAGGACGCTACTAGGAGCAAAGGGCATCGCTACTAGGAGCAAGGGCGCCACTAGTAGCTCCTGGCCTTACTACTAGGAACAAGAATCTACTATTAGGAACAAAGGGCATCGCTACTAGTGAAAAGGGCAAAAGGAGAACTGAGTTTCTACCAAGACTTGGTAGGACACCATGCGCCGGTGTTCGTCACCCAGCCCAAGTCCCTGCCTGCGATAGTCTCTGTGTAGTTCTGCTCACAAACCTGGAGGGCTTAACTTTCAGCCGTTCAATTAGCTAAACAACTTTCAAATCCATGAGGTATCGGGCAGTTTTGCAGGGGGTTAGGACTCAAAGACTCAGCTCCCTGTTCTTGGTGAAACCCGCAACATATGCGTGTCTTAGACCTCTGCTTCAGGCAGCCTCGTTAGTCCGACAAGACATGACAAGACTTCCGACTCACCTGTCCGTTCCATGCGCCTCGTTACTCAACAAGGACACCGGTGCTTCCTGTAACAAATCCGGTGTCGGCCCGGAGGAGTTCAAGGTGCCCCAACCTGGCGCGCGGAAGCACGAGTCGCGCCGAGTCCGTCGCGGAAGCCGAAGGCTGAACTTCGTGGTGAACTCTAGCGATGGCCTCCAACCTAGCTACTAATAGCGTCCGATCGCTCCTAGAAGCGATGCCAGGAGCCCCGTTCGTAGCGTCCTTGCTCCTAGTAGTAAGGCCAGGAGCCCCTAATAGCTTCTTGTTCCTAATTGCGATGGCCTCTACCCTAGGAGAAGCAATGGCCTCCAAGCTAATTGCAAAAGGAACCTAATTGCTCTCCGAAAGTTTTGTGTCCAACCATGCAGGACTCGGGAAAAACAAAATCTTTGTGCTTTGTGAACATGCTCAGGTCTAGCTGAGTCAACCACAATGCAGTTTCATATGCTCAACACATCGTATCTTATAAACTTTGGGGGCTGAACATTCACGTCAACTGCGAAGCTACGAAGCCCATTGCAGTTGACACAGAAACATCGAAACCACAAGGCCCGTCGAAGCAAAGAACTCAAATCGCTCAAGTACCGGAGATCTTCGCCTCGACTCATGCCGACATGTCTTCCTACCGAAAATCCTCTATCCCCCACCTGCCACTCTTTGTATGCAACTGCTACCCGAAACTCTGGTGCCTGTGATGTTGCAGTTGGCGCCAGGCGTATCCAGATCTCTTGGCAGGCACGCTACCCCTATGCAATGATTGATGGGCACTGGCTTGTCCAGCTTCATCAAAGCAAAGTCATAGTCGTGAGCAACATTGTTTTGGTACCTCACTGAATGGGTGATATGATCTGTGTTCTCCACAGGGTGCAACACATCTGAGTTTGCCCATTTGCCAATGTCTGTTGAAAGGCCGATGTTGAATGTGGCAGATCTCCTAACGGGTTTTCTTGGGTTTGCTGGCAGGCAAGCAAAAACAAAAGCAAACCCTCTGTACTTCTCCACCTCTGCAAAATAAGCGCATGCTAACAATTCAGGTGCAGGTGCAATGGATGTGTGAAGATCTTCACCACCTTAGCTTTGGCTCGGCGAATGCCGCCTCTAGGAACATCTTCCTTCACAATTGCATGGAACGTGGATGTCGGTGGACACACGGGATTCAGGGGACGGCTGTTCTTGCTTACGCTGATCGTAGTCATGGAAGGATTTCCATGAGAGCAGGTAGCAGGTGCGAAAGGCCCTCTGGGTCATCAATCAAAAGCAAGTTCAGACTGCCAAATCAACATGATAAGAGAAGAAGGGTCCAAAAAACAAGAAAGAAAAGGTCCAAAAAGTCGATACAAAAGAATGATCGGATATCTAAGGATCTTAAGGATCTATTTGTTGCTAGTAGCGTCCTTGCTCCTAATAGCGATGCCCTTTGCTCCTAGTAGCTTCTAGCTACTCGTAGTAATGCCCTTGTTACTACTAGTAAGGCCCTTGCTACTAGTAGCTTCTAGTGAAAAGAAACTGCTGACAACGTCAGGCCACCCGTCGCTGCACTGCCACCTTCCGGTCGCCCGGGATCTGCTCGCGCCGGTGCCAGGCGCCTGCCCCGATCCGGAGGTTCTGCACCTCACCTGGAACGGATCCAACGGACCGGTTCTGCACCTCTTTCGGCCTCCTAGTAGCTTCTTGTTCCTAGTAGTAAGGCCAGGAGCTCCTAGTAGCGATGCCCTTGCTCCTAGTAGCTTCTTGTTACTAGTGTTAAGAATGCTCCTATTAGCGATGCCAGGAGCCCCTAGTAGCATCCTTGCTCCTAGTAGTATGGCCAGGAGCCCCTAGTAGCTTCTTGTTCCTAGTAGCGTCAACACCTTACAAGCAATGGCCTCCAACCTAATTGTCGCCCCCCCGATCCTTGCACCACCTTGAAAAAGAACACCTGCACCTTACAAGTTCGGTCTCACAGATGTTGAAAAGGCTCTTTGGGACTTGACGTTTTCCATGCCCCGTGATGACAGGATGCATATTGTATACTCCAAACTGCCCAATGTGGTGCTGGACCATCTGTTCGTTAACTGCCCAATGTGGGGCTGTACATTGACCGGTTCTTGAAGCCGGTAGCTTAATTTCGATGATCCTGGATGAATGTCGAGTTCCTCCAACCCAAAATTGATGGCCTCCAACCTGAAAGCGATTGCCTCCAACCTAATAGCGATGGCCTCCAATCTAGTTGTCAAGAATTCATGCCCAAAGCCGTACGCCGTACATGTCGCACTGGCTGTTGCATTTCAAAAAATGTGCCCGCCCGTAATTTTCTGAGGGGGTCTAGAGCAAAGCAGCCCGCAAAACTGACGAAGTCCACGGGTTTTCCGCCGTTTCGAGATGTCTGGGTCCAACATGAGCTTGATGAAAATATGGTTCCAGGGCAATGCAGGTGTTGGTCACAGAAGCAAACGGCTCAGGAATGTGTTGCCCTTTGTTGTCAGTCGTATTTTTGGTGCCGAAAGCGTGGTGTTATCATGTTGTCAAAAAAATAGAACACATTGCTCATCTCAAAACTGAAGGCTCAATAAGTCCTTTGTCCGCTCCCCTCAAGGCAAGTTGAATGCCTTTCAGAAAGTTCCATGTTTTTGTTTCTGCGTCCTTTATCAGAAAACCAACTATCACCAAGTCATTTTTGTTGATTCATCAGGTATGGAGCGGTTTGGCATCACCATCCATATGGAGGCCATCGCTAGCAGATTGGAGGCCATGGCTATTATCTAGGTTGGAGGCCATCGTTATTAGATCGTTTCTGTAACCTGCATTTTTGGTAAATAGAGCGGTTTGGCCTCACCCTCCATGTGATTTTGTTAATCCCTCGCACGTAGAGGACTGCTGCCATGGAACAAGTGCTGCGCACGCCCCAAACACAATGGGCAGCTGTGAGGACCCACTCAGGGCTGATGAGGGTGCCCCCGCAGAACTGGCCATCGCTGGTTGAGCTCAAACTCACCTGAGGTGATCTTCGAAGCGGAACTCCAACCTAGCGATGGCCTCCAACCTAATAGGAATGGCCTCCAACCTAGTAGCGATGGCCCATCAAGAGTTCTTTGGTGAGTGTGTTGTTTCATTGTTCTTCCCGCTTTGGAGTGTGTGGAAACAATTCCTGTTTCTAGTATTGCGACTGATCAACTTGAACAAGGACCATGCCATGTGCCACATCTGCTATTCGCTGTTGACATGAAGCTCGCAAATGCAGAATCACCCATTGGTCTTCAAGGCTTCTCATCCAACCACCACCCACCACAGCATAACTGTGGCACTCCAGCCTGCCATCTCCACACGCATTGATCAGAGTCCTCCCCATGGACGATGCGCTTACCGTCGCCCTTGGGTCTCCTCGCCCTGCCCAGCACGCCACACTGCGTGTACTGTCGGCCCTGGAGCAAATCCGCGGCATCTGCCCCGGCCCAAGTAGCGATCAGGAGAAGGTAATGAAGGCGTGACATGGCTCTGGAGCGCCACGCTTCTTGCGCAGCTTGAGTCCGAAGTGACGCAAAGGAAGCAATCAAGTTCCTCCAACCTCCTAGCGATGGCCTCCAACCTACCTCCAACCTACTAGAGATGGCCTCCAACCTAGTTGTTTTCTCCAAGCGTCTCTTTTCTGCTTGGCACCCACAAACAAGTGGCCCAAGCTTGAAAAGGCCGCTCAAGCGTTTTTCCTTTGGACATGAAGCGTCGCACGCTTCGCTACCTGGTTCACCCCGGATGAGGGTGTATCCTCCAGGGTACCGAACGACTCCCTATGGGTCGGACTCAAACACAGGACGGACCTCCCTGACCCGTCGTTTGAGTTCGAACGGTTGACCCGTCAAAGTCTCCATGTTGCTCTCTAAACCGGAACTCTTTAGTCCGCAGCAGGCTGAAAATCAGGAACTCTTCCGTTTGGCTGTTCAGCAGCCTCCAAAGCACGATCCCAAGACCCAGTGCTCGGACCCTCGTGGGTGCTGTTTTTCTAGGACAACTTCTTCAAGACCTGCCTGCAAACCGCACACAAGGCACACAATCCAAGATGTGCATTAAAAACTACACATCCATCCAATTGTCCAATCCTGTTCACACAACCAAGGTGGGACAGCTTTTCTTTCTCGGCGTGTTGCTGCCAACGTCCGGCTCGGCTCCGACGACGGCGGCTCCGACGGCCTGGTGACATGTTCCTTCACCACACGCCGCTGCTGGCAGTGCTCCTCCACCTTTGGGCGCGACGTCCACCAGAGCGGCACATGGGGAGCCCCGGAAGCCCGGTATCGTCTGAGTCGGTCAAAGCGAGTCGGATGAAAAGGGAAGATGTCCCAAGCAGAGAAAGGCGCAAACATATCAAGAAAACAATAAAGTTTCGGAAAGAATGAAAATACAAAGCGATTCGACACAAGGAGGATTTCTGTGAAAGCCTTCTTGTGAGTACGGTCCAACAACTTTGCTCTTCTACCTGGACCGCGGATGCACAAAAGGGCTTGAAAACAAAAACAACACCTGTTGTAAGGCACCGCAACAGCACAAACTTGAGCCAATTTGTTTGCAATTTGGTTGGGAGACTAGAAACCGTGGGCAGCAAACCCCTCAAATCATTCTTCCCCCTCAGCCTCAACAGTACCAGTTGAACCACACACAGTTTGGTCCAAACACGCTTGGAAGACATGATGCACAAGCGGGTGATGCTTGGGGACTGCGCATGTCCAAGAAAAGCACCTCGTTTCTCCCGATCAGCTCCGATGTGCTGAACCCCGATGTCTGGGAGTTCCGGACGACTCTGGCCAACTGTTTCGCTGCTTGCCGCTTCTCTTGCTGATGAGAGACAAGCCTGTGAGATGACTTTGTTTGACAGCAAAGGACCCATGGTGACCTATGGCCTATGTGGGGCTGCTTTGAGCAGTCTTCGTGACCTGTGGAAGTTTATGGGACTAAGCAACAAAAAACGTCTGGCCGCTATAAAGAAATTGAGATGGTGGTTGGTTAATAATTCTTTCTTACGGAGACGCCATTCTTGGCAAAAGAGTCTTTACTTTCGCAAATGTTTACGAACTCTATGTTTGACTTTTCCGGGGGAAAGGAAACACAAACTTTACTTTTGCGAACTCCAAAAAGAAAGAATAGCAAACTAATTACATAAGAGGCTCTCAATGAGCCCAGGCCTTATGTTGACCTTTTGATCAACTAACTTCACTGCTTCACTTCGCCGTTTCTTCATGGAGCCATCTCACACCGAAGCAGTGCGCAACACAGCCACGGATGAGTGTTTCGGGCAAATGCCATGCTGCGTTCGTCACAAAGTCATCACGGAAAAATGCTCACAAGTCGACAGAAAATCGCAGTCGGTCACCGTCAGAGAGCGACCATCGTGACATCAGGGCGAATGATGACGACAGACCACCCGACGGCTCAAAGCATAGTACCTGACGAGTCCTTGGCCAGCTTTGCCCGGGGCCTGTCCGTGCTTTGTCCGCTGCGCTGCTGCGGGCCCTGCTTGTCCTTTTCCAGGCTCTGTCCGGGTCTGCTTGGCAGCGCTGCCTTGTCCAGCCTTGTCCGAGTCTTGTCCGGATCCGTCTTTCCTGCTTCTCCGCGTTGTCGCTTGTCGGGGTTTTCGTGCGGCTGTGAATGCAACAGTGGTGCAGCGTTTCAAGTTTGATATCGCCCTCTGATGTTCTCATGACACATATCCCTTCATTTGTGACCTGGGAATCAGGAACTATTGTTTTCAAACAGTGCCATTCCCAAATAGCTGGAAACTATAGGAATATGATTACAAACGTTGCGCCACCAACATTGGAATTCAAGGAGTTGACGCAAAAAGACCCATGCGGGCCTGTTTGGGGTCGATGCGGGCACCAATTGTTGGACTCGGTTGGACTCGTGTCGAAGGACCCGAAAACAGGTCCCCTTTCCGTTAGTCCTCTAGGCCTGAAACCTCGAAGCAGATAGCGGCCAGCGATGGCCTCCAACCTTCCGTTAGTCCTCTAGGGCCAACAGGGTCGTAGAGGACTTTCGTTCAACTGGCCGTTGCCTTAGTTTCCTTTTGCACTCAAGTAAGTAGACTCTTGAACTTGCACATGTTAATAGATCTTTTTGGACAGGAGCTGGCTCTGTATCTCTATACATCCATGCAGGTTGCAGGCGGTCTGCACACCAAAATTCAGGGCAGGCCGTTGCTGTCATTCAGAACCAGGCTGCTCTATACAGAAAGAGAGTGCAGTCTGCACACCAATTCTTCGGGGCAGGCTGTCCTCAAAATTGCTAGGCTGCGACTCCGGATTCTTGCGCAAATCATTCAGGCTGACTTGGAAAGAAAGTTCTCACATACTATATATATATATATTATATATTATAATTGTCATAATGAAAGACCTTAATGTCCATCCAACACAGGAACACTGGGTTTCCACTCGACCTCTCAGCACACATGAGGGCTGCCAACCTGCGTGCATCATCCGGTCTTCCCCAAATTCCAGTGGTGTGATTCGACAGTTTCGAATCCGAAGACGTCGAGCCGGTTTTGCTCGAACTCTTCGAGCCTAGGCCGTTTGGCAGCAAAGGACTCGTCGGCACGTCGCTCGGAGGTGACGTCCGCTGGAAATGACCTTGGCCAACTTCTTGAGCACTTTGGGAAGCTCATCAGAAAAGTGACCTGCAAAATCCACCACCGTAGTGATGGTTGCAAAGAAGGCGATGATGCCAGCGGTGTCCCAAAGAGCGTGCTCATTGCTTTTGCTCACCAATGCCTCACGGGCTAAGCGGATGTCCTCCATGTTCCTGGACAAGACTTCCCACACCATCAACATTGAAAGCTTTGCAAGGACATGCCTCATGAGTCTAGCAAGTAAGCTCCTACTGAGAAGAAACAAAGAAACAAAAGCATCAAAAGCCTTTGCTTTTCCGTGAATTGTTTTTCGCTTTCCAGGACGGCTTCCACTGAAAGAGATCTCGCCAAGTTGCTCAGGTGACGCCACAGCCGCCGCCAATTCACTGATTTCAGGATGCAAAGGATGAAATCCGCCAATAAGCGCAGTTTCAGAGACCAGCGCCATGCTGATATGAGCCTGAGATCAGAAGTTGCATGCTTTCGCGGTGGTATAGTCAGCTGCGGCCACTTCCAATTGCCCGCGGTTCAATGTCCTGTCCACCCCAGGCACCTTCATGAATCGCGGGGCTTCTGTGATGGGAACATACATCACATGCATAAACTTCAAGAATTCCCAACAGGTCAAAGGTACTGCGCTCGCTTTCGAGGTAGGTCCTTGTGGACTGTCTCCGGCAAAGCTCATGAGGCCCCTGTCAATCTGAAACTGCTTCAAAATGCCTGGCCTCAGCTGTCCCGTGGGCAAATAGGGACCCCACGCGATGCTCCGGTTCGTCTGCAAGGTGCCCGTGGCATAATCGGAGACCCGCTGAAAATGGGCCGCTTGGCATGGAACAGGCTTGCTGGGAAGAGGAGGAGCTTCCAAACCACAAGCGGCACAGAAGGCCCTCACGCCTGCACAAAGTGCAGCAATGGTATTCAGCTCGACTGCCATCGCCTTGAAATCGTCCTCCGATTTCGAGACTTCCATGGCACTACATACAGCAATCAGGAATTGCTGTGAAAACTGCAAGAAATCCATGTCCTCTTAAATGGAATCAATTACAAGTGCCACGCTAGTAGAAACAAGTGCCACGCTAGTAGTAACAGGTGCCTTACTAGTAGTAACAAGAAGCTACTAGGAACAATAATGCATCCATGTCCTCAACCGATGTCGTTTTTCCGAACCCGGAGCATCCCCGAACCTTGTGTGGCCAAAACACCTCGAAACATTGTGCCTGTGCTTAGACCGAAGTAGCTGTGTCTCAAACCGGTGCCACACCGACTGCCAGGGCAGATCGGCCTTTGAGGATCGCAATGGCTCTGCTCGAAAGCACCGACAAAAACACACGAACACTTCGGCGCCGGCTTCGAAGCTTCGGCGTTCAAGGCTGTTTGTTTGGTTCGACGTTTTTGGCCGTTCGGAGTCGAACCGAAGCAGGTTCGGTGAACTCTGAGGTTACAGCCGAAGAGCCAAATGGCCCTGGCGAATTTCTAGATTTCAGGAAGCAGCTGCCCAGATAAGAACATTTGAAAACTTGGGTAGTTCAGAAGAAAACGGACTGGGATAGCGCCAGTAGAACAGAATCGAACAGCAGAAGAGCAGCCAAACAGTCCAGTCCGAGTAAGCCAAAGCAACAAATCACTCCAAGTCAAAGCGCAATGGCCCACGGCCCAACTGACTTCAAAGTAGAGTAGCGTCTAGAACCCGCGGTGGAACTCACCCGGACAGCTCACGGCTTGCCACTTCGCAAGCAAGCTGTGGCACTGTGGTATTTGCCCTGGGAAAATCTGGCAAGTAGTTCAGAGGTGGGGAATACGTTTGCAAATAGGTTGGAGGCATATGGAGGCCATCGCTAGTAGTTTGGAGGCCATGCTATTAGGTTGGAGGCCATCGCTATTGGGTTCCTTTTGCTTCCAATGTTGGAGGCCATTGAGGCCATTGGATAAATCTCCCATCCCGTCCTCCATCGGGGGGGCTGCCCATTCGATTGCTCGTTTCTTCGAAACTCTTTGATTCGCTCCACCACTGCGTTGAAGAAGACTTCATCGAGCTTTTGTTGTCGATTCACGATAGCATGGGCAAAGTCTCTGAAGGGACCCTTGGTCGTGAAATCATGGGTGATCTCCTCTTGGTTGTACATGGCAAAGTTGCTTCCCTTCGAGGGCAATTTCGAGGACTTGGCTTCGAGGCAACCCTTGCACGAACCCCAAGCAGCATAGGCTTCGGCCGCGAACTCTGCCCGAATGTCGGATGACCAAAGATCCCCAGGGCCGACGACTGCTTGAAGGACTTGATTGATGCAATCCAAACAATTCTTCTTCCTCTCAGCAGTCCTCGCGGAAGAGGTGGCCTTTCCTTTCCTCGGGAAGGCAGGCTGAATGTATCAATTGAAACTTTGAACATGTTCCTAGTAGCGTCCTTGTTCCTAGTAGTAAGGCCAGGAGCCCCTAGTAGCGTCCTTGCTCCTAGTAGCGATGCCAGGAGCCCCTAGTAGCGTCCTTGTTCCTAGTGTGTTGTGGCTACTGAGCAAAATACAAGTACCGGACTATGGATCCATACCGCCCTTCAAGGGATTCTGCGGCAGGATTTTGACCACAGATCACAATGTGTCGCTGTCGGAAGATGTCTCTCAAGCCCTCTGTCAGAAGACCAGTCTTCCTAACATCAAAGCTAAATGCCAAGCAGCTCGTAGTAGCCCGTGCAGAAGTTCCGCAGCACATCCCACATGATCGTTGCCATCAGCTTTGCCTGGAGCTGATGGAGAGTCATGTATTTTTCAAAGACCCCCCGCGACAGCTTGTTGTATGTTTGCTCCATATTCATGATATGATGCCCAGGTTTCTGCATGCTTTAAAATGCGGAGCTGCCGAAGAAAAAGGCTACGCCAAACATCTTTCAACTGGAGCCTTCCCCATGGCGAGACACCGCAATGTTGCCCAGTTGCCCGAATGAATGCTTGAGCAAACTGGCAATCGAGTCAAGACCTTGCACCATCCATGCTGAAGCTAAGACCTCTTGCACATGAGGGAAGCTTGTGAATCATAACATAACGTGATCTCCGTTTAAGGACTTTCATGCCTTTAACTATTTCTAGAGGTCTTGTAAGATTTGTAAGGACTTGCTCGACATACTCCGCCTTCGCCACAAAGCGCCTTGGCGTGCTGCCTGCAGATATACAAGGTCAACAAGCCGTTGTGCATCAAGTGCAGCTTGAAAGAACAAGTCGAGTGTCGAGAAAACCATTCTTGTTTTTTCAAAGAAAACTGTTTTTCAGACCAAGAAGGAACCTGATTTAGGGTTCAGCATCCACGACATCACCAGGAAGGGCCTCCCGGAGGCCCAAAAAGCTCCGCGCGAGTAGGAAGGCATCCGTGATCTTGGGACAAACAGTGTCAAGCAAGGTCTCTCCTAAAATCAACAAACACCAATTCCTTAGATTTCCTTCGGACCCTTTGTAATTGTTCTCGAATCATTATCAAAGGGTTGACATTTTAGAGAAGCAACATTGAAGCCCCTAAGTCAAGTTCTAATGGGTCAAATTTGACGTGCAGTTCCGAAAAGGGTGAGGGGACAGTAGCTAGTCTGACCGCAAAGCCTTCAGCCCACCCGAAGTGATTCTCGGTCCGTCTGTTCGATCTGGTCTTGGGTGTTTGCACTCCAAGGTCGGGGGTCACGGTCACCCTCGTTTCAGCTGCAGCTGTCCGCATTAGCCTCTTTCGCCGTTGAAACATCTGAGCACTTCAACTGGTCGATGGCCATCAGACTAGATCTCTGCCACCCCACGTGTCTCCAGCCCTTACGATCAGAAAGGCTCTCTTTTTGGTTGATGCTTTTCTGCTTCACAAATTCCCTGCGGAGGATCCAGTTCGCAGTACGTCCAAGGCTACCGCCAATGGTCGCAGCACTGTGTTCGCCCGAGTTTCCAGGAAGCCCTGGCAGGAGGACATCAGGCGGCGCTTGATTTTCCCGCTTTGTTTTTCTGTCTGTTCTTTTTTCAGTAGACGTTTGGACTCTAGACCTGTCTTTTTCCTATTTTAAAGAAGAAGCTACTAGATCTACTAGTAGCAAAGGGCATCGCTACAAACCGCTACTAGGAGCGTTCGGACGCTACTAGGGGCTCCTGGCCTTACTACTAGGAGCAAGAACGCTACTGTAGTGTTCTTCGATCCCTCGGCAGAACCGATCCGCCTGCAAGCGTGCATCGTAATGCAAATGCTGAAAGCCCAGGAGCTTCAACGTGCGGCTCCGTCCGGCACACATGCTCAAGCACCTCAAGGTATCCAAAAGAAAGAGGCTTCAGATCCTCCAAAATCCCAAGCATTAGCTGGGAGTGTTGCTTCCCTGTTTGGGACACACTTGGTACAGCAACATATCTTGGAAATTCCACATTTTCCCAACGTGCTACTGCCCCCAAATCCCTAACATGTGTATTTAAAAGAAGACGTGCGTTCACTTGTTGTCACCACAAGAATCTGATCGACCTAACCCTTCCTTACCAGCTGCACACTTCACCTCCCATCCTTTGATCAAGCAGCTCCCCCAGCCCAGCAATCTCTTCTTCGACCAAGCCCTGCCGAGAATTTCCGGTCATACGGACACAGCAAACAACAGATTACTGTAGGCGGTAGGCGCAAACGCTTCCAAACCTGCTTTCTACGGGCTGGTAACCACCAATCGTGGTTCATTTAAGGCATCCGTCGTTTTGTAGTCACAGATTTTTGCTACTCGGAACAAGTGCATCGCTTCTAGTAACAAGTGCCTTACTAGTAGTAACAAGAAGCTACTCGGAACAAGTGCATCGCTTCTAGTAACAAGTGCCTTACTAGTAGTAACAAGAAGCTACTAGGAACAAGTGTGTACAAGGCGTCGGACATCTGTGTCGTGGGTGATTTTCGGTCGAGCGACACCGTCTCCGTCTCTCGTCAGTGAATCGCTGTGCATTCGCTCGACGACATCAACATCGCCACGGCTTTGCCTTTTGATAAACCGCTTTGATTGCGGAATCTTGGATTCATGGTAAGGGTTTGTTTTAATTAGTTTTCATCTAACCAAACCAGAGGTCGACCTTTGGGTTCTCAGTTCTCACACTGTTTCTCAGTGGACCACTTTTGCGAGACACGAGCCATGCGAGTGCGGCAGCACAATGCGGCGGGTGTGGCTCTACCGCTTCAAAATATTATAACGGTTTCAGCCGGAAGCAAATGTTAATAGCTCGGCAAGTTAGTCAAACAAACTGTACCAGAGCAGGTGCGACATGAACGGATGGATGAAGACCAAACGATACCGGTGGAGTTTATTGCGGGTGTCTAGCCCCATGCCTTCTAGACCTCCACTGCACATACGTTCACTGTGAACAGAAGGTGACCATGCCTCATTGATTGATATGTTCCTTACAGAGAGATCTATGTCCTTTTACCGTCCTTTTCACAGCCAGCAAGCAGTATTAGTGGATCGTCGTCAATTCGGGAACATGTAGGAAAGGAAATTCCCAGAGCTCACGCAGGCTTGCCAAAATGAGATTTGTCAAAAGCGACAGTTCTTGTATGTCCATAATCCATACCTTTCATTCCCCCTTCTCCCTTCTCTCCATCTTCTCCAAGAAACACACACAAAGAAAGAAAGAAAGAAAGAAAGAAAGAAAGAAAGAAAGAAGGCCAGGCCAGGCCAGGCCAGGCCAGGCCAGGCAGGCAGCGCGCCTCCATCAGCCGCAGGTACACGGGGCATGGCACGTCGGCCAAGCCTGCGAGACATTCCGTGAGACCGAGATGTTCCACGTGGAAGAACTTCTTCCAAGCAAGTACTGTCAAACTCACTGATGGGCATGCAGAAAAGTTGGAGTGGTGTGAAGCAAACAAGCGCAGCACACTGCTGTAGTCGATTCTCAGATTTTAGGTCAGCAGGTGTTCCAAGTCAGCATTGATATACTGGGCCACCTCCAATAACGTTAGACTTTCCATGGACTCCAAACACTACGACATCTGCATCCGTGGTTTCGGGGACACCAACAGGAGATCACGTTCCCGCCGTCTGCCTCCGCTCCCACTTCTACTCCTCGGTTCGAGCTGAAGATCGGCTCGGGTGGGGTCAAATGACATGTCATGACCAACGATCTGTGATCCTTTTCGAGTCCAATTTGGAGCGGCGTAGCTCGATCCGCTTCACTAGCGCAGAGGCGATCGACCGTCTTCCGGAGATGGTGCAGAGGCTACACCAAACGTGCCCCAAAAACTACCGGACCCCTCAAGAAGAACGTGGATCCCAGAAAACACAACACCTGCTCGTAGGACCACCTCGGGACAAAGCTAGAGATTGGGCCGGAAACTGCAGGCAAACGTCTCAACTTGGGCAAGGTCATAGTGATTCTCTTCTGAACAGGCATCTTCTACTCAGAGTCTCTTATGTAACAATTTGGCAGAAGCTTCAAGAATAGATCATGACCTCCCCCCATCAAAGACACCGAATTATTTTCTCATCAGTGCTCTGAGCGTTATTCTTGTCCTTTGGAACCGTTTGAACTTGCATCCCTTTCGCCTGAGGCCCCATACACAGGACTGGCCGAAGGGCTGGGGCTTCCAGTCTCGGCACTCCTCCAATCGAACAAACACACTTCTGCTTTTGCCTGTCCCATACCCTGTCATATTGACCAAAGGAAACGAAACGTCGAAGGTTTTTGTGACGTGGTGGGTTGCATGGGTTGCAGGTCTGACTCCACTCTCGTGTGACTCGTGGAAAACGGATTTGAGGACCGATCCGATCTGCGCCGACGAATCCCGGGATTCGACATCCCGGACCGCCGAGAAGGCGAAAGGTTTGCAAGCCCGTACTTGATGAAGTAGGTAGGCGCCTATTTAGTTAAGGAGGTAAGCTCCTTAAGTAGGGGCACCTACTTAAGTAAGCTCCCAGCTAGGATGTAGGATAGCTCACGTTTCTTCAAGGAAGCTCCCCCCCACCTGAGTGCAAAAAGGAGCTTCCTTGAAGAAGCGCTCGCACTGATGATTTGGTTCCTAGATTTTTAGGGAAACTTAACTTGTAGCTTCTAGTAGCGATGGCCTCCAACCTAATAGCGATGGCCTCGACCTAGTAGCTTCTAGTTACTAGTAGCTTCTTGCTACTTGTTTACACCCGTCTACCATTGCTTGCGGACCAAACAATCCAGTCTGTGGACTGCACAATTTCCCTGCAAACTACCCAAAAGAAAGTCACATGGAAGGAAAGTCTGTGTAGCACATCTCTGCTTGACCCATCTCTGTCTTCCAAGTTCTTCAGGGTGCTCCGTCTGAACTATGCTTGAGTCCGACTGAACTGCAAAATATACATGAGTTCTCTGCTCGAACACCCCTTTTTGTTTTCTACGCTCTGCCAAGTAGCGCCTGAGGATGGTTTTAAGTTTAGGTGTTGTCTTCCAACAATAACGGCATGAAAAGATCCCTGAGAACCCTGAAACAAATGGGAAGCCAAAACACCAGGTTTGCAGCAAACATCACCAATCCACCCTCAGGTTGGTCTTCTGAAGACCAAACGTTGTCAAACTGAGAAGCAATTGATCACTCTGCAGGATAGCCAGTGGTCCGATGAGCGAAAGAGCGCTCGCCTTTCGACGGCTGGCCCCACAAGTGGTTAGAGTGGAGGCCATCACTCTTAGGTTCCTAAGAAGCTACTAGGAGCAAAGGGCATCGCTTCTAGGAGCGTTCGGACGCTATTAGGTTCCTTTTGCTACTTGTATTAGGTTGGTTCTGGCAACATCTGGTCCTCCGTTTCTTCGGTGTTCTTTCTTAGGTTGGAGGCCATTGCTATTGCTTTTGTTTCCTTTGTTCTCTTTGTTCTTTCTTTGTTTGACCAGAACAACTAAGTCCTTTTCTTCCTTTAAAGAGTTCGCCAACTCTTCAACTCTTTTGGGGCACAGCCATGGCGCTGCGGCGCTGTGCTTAAAATTTCCGCCAAGTGACACCAACGTGTGGACCAATTGAGTTAGAAAAAAAACTCCGAACAGGACACACACGCGGCACCGGCACATAAATGCTGGCATGTTGTGCGCAGATCCTTGCCTAAAAGAAAACAGGGCATCATGCAAGGACCTTGAAAGTGGCCTTTCCGGTGAAATCGATCTCAGAATGGAATGCTTTTTGGTTCTTCGCGCTTTCAAAAACCGTCCAAAAAGGGGCACGTTTTAGCACCGAAGGCCATCCGAAAATCAACATCGGACACTTCCATCAAATTAGTACCTCTCAATGTCGCTAAGCTTAGGCTGAGAGGAAGCTTTTGGGCAATAGGCGGTATACTAACCCACCTGGGCAAGTTCAAAGTGAAGCAAAGCAGCTGCCTGATGCCAACTGTTCATTCCTGGTGGAGATGTACGTGATGCTAATTGAATGATCTTTATGATATTTCTCGTTCTTTGGCCATCGCTTCTAGGTTGGAGGCCATCGCTATCAGGATGCTTCGCTCAAGCAAGCTAGAGGCTTTTCTTTGAAGGTACCTGGCCGCCACTCTGTACACTACCAGGTCCTTTTGTGCAGGGAAGCGTTAAAGCACAAGGACTGCATACGGACAATGCCTTTTGCCTGAGCGCTCCAATGAAGTGGCAAAAGTTATCTGCCATCATTTGTTGTTTGCAAAGGTTTCAAAACTCTGCTTAACATGTGTTGAACGACATTTGATAGGTTTCCACTTCATGTACAACCTCATGGCAGCCCCCCCAAGCATCGCCGGTGCCTTTCCCTTCCAAAGGGTGCTTGCAGTCAAGTTGTACTCCGAAACACTCCAACAGTCAAGTCGCTTGTCTTCATGATTTCGCACTTTTCGTGTCACACGAGCGCCAGCTCAGGGTCCTTTGAGTCTTCCATGGTCTTCCTTTCGACTTTGACCAGTCAATCTGGTTGAATCTTTGATCCTCATTGTGAGTCGGGGCTGCGGTCCTCGCATGCGCTCTCAAACGCGAACTCATGAGGTTGACGAGTCGATGAGTCGACTGAGATTGTATTGATTGAAAAAACACGAATGGACAGCCTTGGAGGCCATCTGGGGAAAAAACGTATGGACAGCCTGCAATTGCAATGCTATGTATTCGTTGCGATTCGTTGCAAAACGGGCAGTTGGCACGCGCCGCAATGAATCTGAGAGATCAACTGATCCCTCCATGTTTGTAGGAAGCCTTTCAACCAAAGGTCTCATGCAAAGGTCTAGTCATGTTCAACATGTTCATGTTTGTAGGGCTAAACGCCCAAACCCTCGGCTCCCAAATTGTCTGCCATCTGAATTCCAATCTATTGGTTGTCTATTCATCTGACTATACCGAGCGCTAATGAGAAAGGAATTGGCTGGGCTAGTGACATAGGATTTGTGGGCCACTGCGATGGGCCACTGTGATTGAGTCATCAGTCAGTAGACAAGGTTGCCAGATGAATGTAGTACACAGCTTGATGACATAGGAGTTGTGGACGTTCTGCCAGTAAATAACTAAGAAACAACATTTAAAAAAAAATGCATACAGCATATATATATATATATACATAATAGAATACTGTGCCCAAGGAGGAATATGACTGATGAAAGCTTCATGACTTAGGTACGCTCCCAGAGTTTTTCCAGCTGCCTGAGCTATTTGATGTTCTTGCCGCCCTGGTTCTTCATGTTTCTTCTCAAACACATATCTACATATACAGTGTGTGTATATATATATATAATGTCGCGATATGCCATGTGGCCATGTGGTGACATGTTCCTGGGTCGTCCTGAAAGCATGCAATCTCATGCATTTATGAGATAACATACATGCGTGTGCCAGGGTCATGCTTGTATGTTTTGACCTGATGAGGGTCATACATGTGTGTTTCTTTTTTCGGCTCTTTCCTGATGACGTAGGTGACGTTTTCTCACCGGTTCACAAGTCCTATTTCACTTGCCTTCGGTATAGTCTATCTTGAGAAATTAAGGCCTCTCATCCATGACGCCATTTCGATTGGCCCTGAACATCGGCGTCGGGAGTGACGGGCTCCTGGCCTTACTACTAGGAGCAAGGACGCTAGTAGGGGCAAAGGGCATCGCTACTAGG